GGTGCCTTGCTCTGGTCTCTCTCCCGGCCTGGTCTTGCCACCTCTACTATAGTTGATGTCTGAGGCTGTTCCAGTGGCCTTCCCTAGCTATGTTTATTGTGTTCCTGTTGTGGTATCACCTGTGCACCTCACAACCCTTTTGTATTGATCTGTTTTGTCAATAAACCCTTGTTACACTCACTGCAATTGGGTCCTCCTTCCAGATCCCTGACAACAATGTGATTTTCTGGATTTTTTTTTCTCATTTTGTCTCTCATAGTTGAGGTATACCTATGATGAAAATTACAGGCCTCTCTCATCGTTTTTAAGTGGGAGAACTTGCACAATTGGGGGCTTACAAAATACTCTTTTGATAATATGTGTTGAAGAGACATGGCTTAAACCTAATTTAGTTTTTGTGATTCAAGGATATGTATGTATAAGAAGGGATAGAGAAAGGGGTAATGGGGGAGGATATGCTACTTTTGTTAGGCAAGGTATTTCATATAGAGAAATAGAAAAAGGGAAAGAGCTGGAATATGTAGTTGTGGAAGTTTGGTTAGGGGATGGTAGGATGGTCATTGTGAATTTTTATAATCCATGTCAGAGGTTGGAATTGGAAAAATTGGAGGCAATAAAGGGATTAGATAGTAGAAGGATTATTTGGTGTGGTGACTTTAATGCTCATAGTACTCTTTGGGGAGGGGAAAGGACTGATAGGAATGGTTTGATAGTGGAAGATTTGATGGATGCTGTGGGACTTGTGTGTTTAAATGATGGGAGTTTTACGAGGATAAATCATTATACAGGTACTAGTGAGTCAAGTTTGACTTGACATTAGTGTCACAGTCATTGGCAGGTATTTATTGTGAGAAGTCATGAATCAAACAACTGCTGGAAGTGATCATTACCCTATTGTTTGTAAAGTAGGTAGTGGAAGCAGGGTGGAATTGGAAGATATATCAGAAAGGTGGGTATTTGGAAAGGCGCAGTGGGATAAATTCGCAGAGGTAAGTGAAAAAAATTTAAAAAATATAAAAAGAGAGCAGGATATAGAAATTTTTAATGAAAATGTGAGAGAGGCAATAATTGGGGCTGCAAATCAGACAATTATAAGAAAAGGTGGTATGAAAAGACGGAAGTTAGTTCCGTGGTGGAACGATGAGTGTAGTTACGTAATAAGGCTTTTAAAGTATTAAAAAAAACACTCACAATTTCCAGCATTTCATAGAATATAAAAGAATGCAAGCAGTGGTTCGAAAGACTATTAAAGAGACTAAAAGAAAATATTGGAAAACATTTTGTGATTCAATAGGAAGAAGCACAACAATTAATCAAGTTTGGGGAATGATAAAGAAAATGAGTGGAATAAGACGAGAGGGGGGATACCCAGTATTGGAAAATGGTGGGGTGGTGGCTAGCAATGATATAGAGAAAGCAGACATGTTAGCTGATATAGAGAAAGGAGACATGGTTACCTAAAGCATTGTTGAGGTTCACAGGTCCTGAAATATAATAGAAGAGGGGAAAAGGGGAAGACAAAAAACAAGTGACGCAAATAAAGAATTGCTGGAAAGAGAAGAAGAGAGGGATGATGTTATTAACTCTCCCTTCA